GAGGTCGGTAGCGCTTGACAGCGGCCGCTGTCGTCGTCGTCGTCGTCGTCGTCGTCGTCGTCGTCATCGCCGCCGCCGCCGCGTCGTCGTCTTTCGTTGTCAACATCGCTCGGCGCGGCTCTCGGCTCCGGCGCGCCGTCGAATTTTGCGATCGCCCCCGTGGCACACGCACTCGCGCACGCATCCGACGGGAGGGAGCGGCGGGGTGGCGGAAGGGAGATACGCGCGGACGCGGGGGCGGGCGGGGGGAAAACTGACGTAGCGCGAGAGCGAAAGAGAGAGAGACGGTTTTGTACGGGAGAATGAAAAAGGGGCGCGAGGGGAAAGGGAGGACAGAGACACAAAGACGGAACGAAAAGGGGAGAGAGAGAGAGACGCCGGTCAAACATGGCAGGCGATGTGCCTTGCAGGCGGAAAAAAACAAGATTTAACGCGAGCGAGCGTGCGTGCGTGCGTGCGTGCGTGCGGGCGTTGCGCGTGGGGACGTAGGACAGGGGGGTGGGGGTGGGGAGGGGGCCACGGCGGGAGCCCAAGAGCGGCACCGAAACGCGACGCACACGCCGAATTGCGTAGATTTGCGTAAGTACTCACGCTGTTTCCGGCGCGGCTCCCGGCTCCGTGTGCTGCGAGTCGCCGTCCGCCCGGTGCGAGGAACGTCGGGGACGTGCGCCGCGCCAGCCGGGGGGATAACAGCGGAGAGGCAACGGTAACGGCGAGGAGAAAAGCCGACGACGTTGGCCGCCGCGCTCGTCCGCGCGGCCGACGTTGGGTTCACACACACGCGGGGTCACGCACTCTCTTCTCTTTCTCACCGCTCGCCGCGGGCTGACTCGTCTCGCGATGCGTGGTGTCTGCCGCGAGACGGAAAAACAACACCCGACGTCCTTTTCCGTCCTGATCGCCCCCTCCTCGTCCGACGCACGGGGCGACGTGCTCACTCTCCGTCCTCGTCTCACCCAGTCTGTTTCTCCCCCCTCTCACTCTCTCTCGCTCTCTGTTTCGGCGCGAGCGAAGGAACGAATTGAAAAAAAAAAAGAAAAGAAGAGAGAAAAACCGGAAACCGAACCCGGCACCGCACTGACAACGCGCGTCACGATTTACGGTGTACGCGGCACGCAAGTTTGTACCGACGCGTTATATCGCTTCTCTTTTTATTCCTCTCTCTCGACCGGGACAACCGTCAGATGTTGTTGCGAGACGACGCGCTGCGCGGCCGCCGTGCACATGCGAACGTGCTCGGTGTGTTTCACGCACGAGACTCCTGTCTCACTCACTCGACGCGTGAGTGGACGGCGACGGCGACGACGGCGACGTAACGACGATCAAAATGGCGTTTGCCGGACCGCCCGCGCGCGCGATCAGGTGGAAAATGCCGGAATGCCGCCGCTAGAAAAGATCGACTGACTGCCGAGGGGTCCGCGGCCCTAAGTGGTTTGACGTTAAGAACGAAGCCGAGCGGGCTCGCGCGGGTGCGAGCGAGACGGCCGCAAGACGGGCCGGGGAGAGGGACCGGGCGAGACGGAGAAGGAAGACGCGGCGCGCGCGAGAGAGAGCGGAGGAGGCCGGCCGTGCGAGCGAGAGAAACGACGGCTCGGCCGCGACTGAGTGGGGGAAGACGGTGCCGCGCGGTAGGGATAGCAGGGGCGCGCGATCGCGCGCCCCCCCACCCTTCCCGCCCCGCCGTGCGCCGATCACGCGCTCGGACGACTTCGACTGCCTTCGATTGCTCTCGACCGCGAGAGCAGGGCCGTCTAGAGCAAGCGGTTAGGCCTAACGCATCGGCGCCGCGCTGCCCGACAAATTTTCTCCCGTATTATTAAACCAAGTTACGCATCTCTCTTTCTTTCTCTCTTGTCGCATCGCGCGCGCGCGCGCGCGATTCGTCGCCGCGGCTTTTCCGGTATACAAACGCATTACGGGATCGCAAAGGATGTTCGCTCCGATTATCCCCGCGTCTCGTCGGAGCCGCTCGAGGGGAGAATAAAGAGCTAAGGAAACGCGTCTCTCTCTCTCTCTCTCTCCCTTCCGTCTCCGCCTTGAACGCGAATAATGCAGATTCGCTCGCATCAAGGATATCCCTCTCCGCGCGCTCTCGCTCGCCCTAAGGCGGCCGTGGGTGGCTCGCGCGCCGCTTCTTCTCCCCCCGGAGCCTTCCTTCTCCTCGCCTCGCCGCGCCGCTCTTATGGCCGGTGCGCTTCGCGCGCTCGTTCGGCCGTCTCGCCAAGAATTTCTAAAAATCAATATACGCGTGTGAGCAAGGAGACGAGAGAAGGGGCCGCGAAGCAAAAAAAGGGGAAGAAAAAACATATTCGATATCCCCGTCCGCCCTGCCGCTCTTCTCCTTTCCCTCCCCCCCTTTTTTTCCCTGGACGCGTCTATCCCGGCTTTCCTTTCGTCTCTCTTCTTTTTCTCCATTATCCTCCTGCGAGGCGAATTGCGCGCGCGATCCATCCCTCTCCCCGCCCTCCCGCTCGCTTCGCGATATGACGGAGCGGCGGGGCCGGACGGGGCGGGCAGGGGGGAGGCCGATCGGTTTCAACGAGGAGAACTCGCCACGGAGGAAGTCGCGGAGGTGATCGCGCGAGCCGGGGCCCCTGACGGAGAAGCGCGGGAGAGTTTATTTTCTCAGAAGCGCGCGGCCGCGCGCGCACTCTCGGCGTACAACAGTCTCTCCGCGGCCGCCGTTGGCCTCCCGAATAAATCTCATTCAGAATCGTCCGCTCGCACGCGAGTCCCTTCTCGCCCCCCTCCTCCCCCCGGTCCGCCCGCTCGCGTCGCGACCGCGATGCACGCGCACACACACACACACACACGTCGGGCACGCGGGTGGCAATTAAACGGGTTAACGACATTTCGGCTTATACGTTCGGCTCAACAATGTAATTCGCTCCCCGGCCTCGATTTAATTGGCAGCAATCACGTCCCGTGAGAAGAGATCGGCCACGATCGCGCCAAGATCGGCTCCGCGTTAACCGTAACCGCGTACGACGAACGCGCATCCTTTTCCCTTATTTATCGCGACGCGATACCAATCTGTTCCCTTCCCCTCCCCTCGCGGTCTCCTGGGTCGTGTACGGTTATTCTCGCGCGCGAGCGGGGCTTACGTACGCTACTTTCGAGAATTACTCCAGCATTGAAAGCAGAAGTGGCTAGTTAAGCTTCAACAGCGTAAGCGGATAACGCGACGTTGTTCCACGCGATTAATTTCAAGTGGGCCTCAAGCGGGGATTTAATTCCAAGGCTGAAGCGTCACGACGGAGAACGCGGTCGGGAACTTCGGAGGGAGACGAATTTCCTCCGCCCGTCGGCCCGCGCTACGCGGGTTTACCGGACGACGCGATTCCGAGACTCGTCGCCGCGACGCCAACGAGCGGGACTCTCCCCCGGCGTCCAACCCGTCGGGCGCGATCGCGATCGCAGGAGCGGAGCTGACCGATCGAGGCTGCCGCGAGCGATCGGGCCAGGGAGAGATATCGCGACCGGATTCTGTTCGATTGTTCGATTCGCGTACGCTTTCACCTTTCTACTTCGGACCCCATGCTCTTTTTGCGGCCGCGCGTTTAGACGCGATACGCCGCTCTGATCGCGCGCGAGAGCACCGAGAGCCGCGCGATTCTGGGCCTCGATCGTGAATCTTTTTCTCTAGCGCGTACGCGCGAGGAGCGAAATATTCCATTAGCGAACGCGAGATTTGCCGATCAACATTTTCACCTTTCGCGCTTCGGCGAAAGATTCACGATTGAGGTTTCGCCGACGTTGTTTAAAGCCCACGGCACACGATACTATTTTTCCCCGCTGGATTGCTTACGAGAGCCAATCAGGATTTAGCTCTTGGTCATCTGATCTAAAACTCTGCATCCTTATTGGCTCTCTTAAGCAATCCAGTAGGAAAAATGGTATCGTGTGCCGTTGGCTTAACTTTAGGCTTGGCTTCATTCGTTCTACGTCTCCTTCCGACTGGCAGACCTAACCTACAATGTGCTCTTTGCATCCAGAAACATTCTATTTCACATGAGCAAATGAAGACGCTTAAAACGTTAGTCGACAATTTACGATTGTACCATTTATCCAACTTGCACAAATTTTTTTAAACGTATTTATTGGCTACAAAACGGAGTATTTCCAGACGCAACGAACACATTGTAGATTAGCCTTTACGCTAGAAAGAGACAAGCGTGAATTAAACCAAGATTAAAGTCCAGCGACGTTTGCTGAAACCGGGCCCCGCGCCTCTGGAAACGATCTCGAGGATCGACGGACTTCGCACCCACGATTTTTCTTCTGCCTTCGCGCCGAGTGAAATGTCGCGACAGCTTCGACGTACGAGGAATTTTACTAATTCAACTATTGCACCGAAGGTGGAATTCTCGGTCGCTCGATAAAATTGTATTATATAAAACCGCTTGAAATAAAAATTATAATGAACGTTGCGGCGCTGTTCTATTCCTTTTCCGTACCAAGTGTAATTATATGCCATTTAATAACGTAGGCTTTATATATAACTGCGGGTTTATGTAACCGTTAAAAACGTTGTCAAATAATTCACAGAAAAATATTACCTAACAAAGAACCGCGGTGTGCGACGCGCGTTTCGAAGCTGCGAATTCGCTCGATTCCCCAAAGGTCAAGAAATTCTAGTTCGACGTCTTTTTTCCTTTCGCTTCTCAGCGAAGAGAAAAATACCGCGTTTTCTCTCCCGTCGCAGGCTCGGCAGGACGAGGGGACGACGAACGAAAAATAAACACGGACGACGCGGTCACGACGGATCCGCGCGCCGTAGAAGTCGCGATCGAACGACCTCGAAAGGGAAGTTGCCTGTTCATCCCTTGACACACTTTCCGAAACGTTTACCTTGTAAAGAACGTCAACCGGTTGTCTGCCGGAAGTTTCGCCGAGGCGCGAGATTAAAACGGACGTGTCGCGCGAAAATATACCCTCCTCCTTCGGAGATCGCACCCCCGCTTTTCCTTCCGGCTCTCGAACGAAAGAGCCGTTCTTTTTTAACGATCGACGCCGCGTTGACCAGCGCGGGGATTCTGTGACTTGCTGTCGACGCTTTCCGGTATCGTCAACCAGCGACAGCCAAAGACGATCTTCGAAGAAGACGCAGCCTTTTGCGGGATGTCGCTGGTTAACGATAACCGGAAAGCCTCGACAGCGAAGTACCAGAATTCTCCCGCACAGGGGGTCAATTCTGTATCTTGCAACATAATGAATGAATGCTAAGAGTGAGCGGCTTTGTCTCTTTTTAAGGGGACAGTTAGAAAGAGACCGGGTCAGTCACTTTTAGGCGATTCTTATCTCCAAATTATCTTAAGTGTTGTCTTAAGAGGCTAGTACGGCTTTGTGATTGGTTAAAACCACATTAAGAGTATACTTAAGATGATCTTAAATACAAGCACGGACTATAGATACCGGCCTTAGTATTTTCACTATGGTGTGAGATACAGAATTGACTTCCAGCTTGAGATTTCGATGTACTGGAACGCGAGAGCAGTCTACGCTCACTCGTGACGACACGCGGGGAGAGAATTTTCTCTTCAAATTTATCCCGAAAATCATGTGATCGCGGAACAACGTGGCCTTTTGAAGAAATAAGAGTCTTTGAAAGTTTACCATACATTTTTCTAGTCAACGGTAAACTTTCAAAAAACTCTAATGAAACTCTTGGAAATGCCGCGTTGTCCCACGACTCTCTTCAAATTTATCCCGAAAATCTTGCGGTCGCGGGACAACGTGGCCTTTTAAAGAAACGAGAGTTTCTTGAAAGTTTACCATACATTTTACTAGTAAAATGTGCACTGTGTATAATTGCTAGCGAACGGTATGGCAAACTTTCAAAAAAACTAACAAAATTCTTGGAAATGCCGGGTTGTCCCACGACTACGATGCTTTCAGGGCAGATTTGAGGAGAAAACTCACTCCCCGCGTGGGAGGCGCGTTTTCGCGTGGCCGCAACAGCGAAAGATGAACTCGACGATACGCACCGGGTTCGCGCTTGGCGCTTTCGAGGCCCCGGCCGGGAGTCGCGAGGACGGTGCCCGTCGTCTTACGGTCGATCGTTAGCGCAGATGCGGCGGGATTGAGTTATGGGCGCCCCGCGCCGCACTCTCACGGCCGTAAACTCACGTCGACATGATTAAAGGTACGGCACTACTTAGCAAAGAGCGTATATTCTAAGGAGGCTTTCATTCCGCAGGGGAGTGCCGATAATGAAGTGTACGTGCAGTTGGGAGCATATAATATATGGTAATTTAACGCACATGTGATATATACATCATACAATACAGCACCCTAACCACAAGTACTCGCCCGTTGAGTTTATATGAGTAATTGTCTGAGGGTCTATTCTTTTTGTAAATATATATAGATATATATTGTTGTTATTATTGAGATATAAACTTAACCAAGCTGCACAGTAAAAATTAGCCGAAGCGTTTGGTTTCGTGTGCGCTGAAGGGGACCGAGGGGGGGGAGGGTGAGAAAGAAATATAGACGAGCGTCGGCTGGGACCAAATGTAAACGTATCGCAGCCGCAGAGTGTGTGACACAGCACCGCCCCCCGAAGAAAGAGAGAAATCAGGGGCCGACACCGAGGTTCGTGGAGGCGGATTGCGTGTATTTATATGTGGCGCATGGAGGGAAGGGGGGGGGAAATGATAATAGCGAATCAGCGATTCATCAGCGGTGTTCATAATCGCAAACGAAAAATCGCCCCGCAACGCCGGATTTCTCCGCGCGCGGGAGAGGGGGAGGGAAAAGGGGGAAAAAAAGATCGACAAGAGATCGATTTCCTGTGCCGCGACGCGAAGAGCCGGAGGGGGCGTGTATGGCCAAGTCGCCAAGTCGAGTGGCGTTTCGCGCGCGCGGGGCGATATAAAAAAAGAGAGAGAGAGAGAGAGAAGAGAAAAAGGTACACACACACACACACACACGCGCGCGCGCACGCACACATACACGCGCGCGTGTAAAAAAGAGAAATGGAGACGGGAGAACAAGAGATCGATTTCCTGTGCTGCACAGTCACCGTCGAGTTGCGTTCAGGAGCCTGTTTTGTATCAAACACGGCCGCGACAGACGTGCCAGCGGATTTTCGCCGGGGCTACACCTCACCTTCGCGCGGGGAGCGAAATCGTTTTCTCGCCGGGGTCGCGTCCCGACGTTAAGCGATAGGGTGGGAGGGGAGGGGGAGAGAGAAGGATCGTTCTCTCGCGACTCCGGAGTATCGAACCCGTCGAGGTTGCGCCGATCTCGGGGCTCGCAGGGTGCAACAGCCGGAGCGGCGCGACGAGAATGTCCCGTCGTCCGCGATAGCGCGACACGCCGTTGGAGAGGTGCATTTAGCTATCGGCCAATTATGCGCGGTTAGGGTCGAGAAACCGGTCGGATCTCGGGGAATTTCGGATTTGGGTGTCGCGCGTCGCACGAGGGTAACCCCCTGCCGGCGATCTCGTCCCGCTAATGGTCTCTCGCGCGAATCCCGGTCCCAGCTTGGCGAACCGTTTTACGCGCGACTCGAAGCCTCCTCGCGAGGACTGCGTGAAGGAAAGGAATCACCCGCGGCGCGACCGATCCCCCATCGTCCTTCTTTTCGAGAATCGAGCTTCGAAATGAACTCCCGAAGGGCGATCGTAAATTTGTACGACGAGCGCGACGAGGGCGGGCGGGGTACCTTTTCGTCGCGCGTTTACGGGCACCGAGGACTCCTTCGAACTCGTCGAAACCGCGCACCGGGGGGAGACTCGGGTCGTCCGCGCGCGATTAGCGGAGGTCACGGTTTTTCGCGATCTCGCGGGGGTGTGGGTGGGGGGAGGGGGAGAGGAAAAAAAAGAGAACCGGCCCGCGTCATCGCGCATTTTGGCACCTACTTGCAATTCTCAGATGCTGCTGCTGCTGCTCGAACAGAGTGCTGGGAGGACAGTGCTTGCGAGAGAGGCGAAAAACAAGTAGAAGTAGTAGAAGAGGAAGAAGAAAAAGAAGAAGAAATAGAGAAAGAATCGGCGTTACCTGCGCTAAACTCACCAGGGGCCCCTGGCCGCTCGTGGGGAATCAGCTCTGCGGTCCGGACCGGAAGCGCCCGGAAGTCGCGGTTGGTATCGTGGAGAACGGCCTCGGCCAATCCCGCGCCACCTCCTTTAGCGAGCGGGGGCTTGGGATTGGCTCGGTTTCAAGGCCGCGCCGCTGATGCTTCTCCCTCTGCCCTTCTCTCCTCGACAGGCCCCGAGTGTGCGTTGTGCGCTACATGGCCGCGCGCGGGGCCCAGCGGAGAGCAGCGATCGGGGTGGCGACTCCGCGATTCCGCCGCTCTGGAAAAATGCTGGCGCTTCGATCGGATCGTCGAATGGCGCGCGGCGGCGAAGAAGCGGCGGAATTGCCGGGTCCCTCACAGCCCCGACTGACGGAGGTGCAGTCTTGCCCGTTAATGGGCCTGGGCCTCAGTTTTACCATAGCACAACCAGCGGGCCCACTGTCCGTCGGCCCCTTTCATCTTTGCGGCCCCGATCACGCGGCGCTCCGCCAATATTCTGGGCAGCGATCCAGCGGCGTACGCGTGGTAGTGTATCAAAAAGCCACACTACCACACAAACCTTCCTTTCGCTGGTCTGCCCAGAGCAATGTCGGATGCGCAGACGGGATCGACGCAAAACGAAACAAACGACGGACCTACTAGTTGTACCGTGGTTTCGCTAGGATTCACATTTTCATCATCTTCATTCCCCATCCGTATGTCGATGAATTTCAGGCTGCGGTACACACACAAGCTTCTGTACAAGTGTGCGGTGCGTACAGCCTGAAATCGGCGCATTGCACGGACGAGAGAAATGACGATAAAGATGCAGGTCCGGGCGTTAACGAGCAGGGCTGTACGTCGAGTGCCGCGCGGCTCCGTCGATCGGCATCGCCGAGCGCGTGCGACACTTCACCCGGGATATCCAGCGCGAGGTCGACGGTCCCGAGTTAACTCGTGACGAACGTTCGGTAACGTTCGGCTCGGCAGCCCCGCGACTGGTCGCAAATCGCCGATGAGACGCATCGGCTCGAGAGCTCCTCGACTCGGACGAACAACCTCCTCTCTACTCTAATTATATTTGTACCTGAACATTCGGAACTACCGCCGGTGCTCGCTGGATACCGACGTGCCGCACGGGATGGACGGCGGTCTCGCAATAGGATAGGAGGAGAAGGGGGTTCTGCCTGTTCTTGTAGGCGATCTTTTTTTTTCCACGAGTCCTTATCCACTACCCATCATCCGCGTGTCGATTTGCGTGCCGACAACCGGTGGATGGCGAGCCGTGCTCGTTAATCTACGATGCCAGATTGGAGCGTGGGGTGGAAAAAAAAAAGAGATGTTATAATTTTGTCGCAACGTGTCCGATCGGTATATTGATGCATAATAATAGGGCCGGATCACCTCCCCGGTGCCGAGGAGGGGCTCGCATAATTTTGCAAAAGGCGCCGTTTAACAATGCGTAAAGTGGGATCTCTGCATGGATGCATCGGATGCGGCTCCGAGTGCGTGGCGCGAAGCGGCGCGTTGCGCGAGACGACCGTGGCGAAATTGAGCTTCGATCTGCCGACGAGAGTCTCGCGGGAGGAGCAGTGGAGGAGAAGAAAGAACTCGCGAGAGGCTCGTGTCCGCGGGGACGCATCGGCGCGGAGGACGAAGAAAATGGGACGAGCGTCGCCGCCATGCAACTTACGCCTTCGCGCCCCGAGCCCTGTTAATTGATCGGGTCGGTCGTTAAATTTAGCGTATGAAACGATACAAGTATGCGACGCGGTTATACGGGATGTACCGGAAACCGCGGACTTGCCCCGCGTCCTTTCTGCTCGGCGCGCGATACCGCGTTTAAGTCCCGACTAGATCGCAACGCTTAGGCTACGCCGATCTTAATCTACGGCCAAGCTAACGACTCGACGATCGCCTCGCCACGAATCTGACTTTACAACCAGCGGACTCGACGATTGTTAATTTTCCGCGCACGTTAGCCTGATAATGACGGATCGGCCTTCGGGACCGACGCCGCCAACAACCGTCTCGCTTCTTAGCCACTAAGGAAGCGCGCGCGTCTTCGGGTACACCCCGTATAAGTGCATGTAACGTACGGCAATCGGCCATGTGTGCGCACGATTCACGGACTGTCGACGACGGTCGGCCCTCTTGCAAACGGAAGGGCGAGGGGGGCTGACGACGGAGGCGGCGGCGGCGGCGGCGGCGGCGGCAGCAGCGGTGGCGGTGGCGGCGGCGATGACGGTGGTGGTGGTGCCAGCCAGCCAGCGAGCTTGCTCTTGGGTTCTCGTCCACGACGACGGGAAGGCAGCGCAGCGCGGCGCGGCGCGGCGCGGCGAGGCGCGGCGCCGCGCGTCGCGGTCGTTTTCTCTCCCTTCCTTACGTTGGGCCGCGTGCGGGGGTGATTTTCGGGGAGACGAAATTCCAGCTTCCAACTGTTGCGCAAATAACGTGGCGCAAACGCAGCCTCGAAGGCGTGGCGATCGACAAAGGGCTCGGAAACGGCCGATAACGCGCCGTTTTCCATTCCCCCCTCGGACCCCCCCTCCCCCACCCCTCTCTCCCTCTATCTCGCTATCTCGCCTCGTCTGTCGTCTCCCCCCCGGATCTTTTTTTTTTCGCCGCCTCGTTACGCACCACCTGCGGAGTAGGAAGCAGCCCTCGCCGCAGAACAAACGGGTAACGCGCCTCGCTCCGGTCGGGAACGCGGGACTTCCGATCGCGCGCAGGGGGAGGAAGGAGGGCGACGACGGCGACGACGGCGGCGGCGGTAACGGTGGTGACGACGACGACGACGACGATGACGATGACGGACGACGACTGCAGCGGCGATAGTGATGGTGGTGGTCACGTCCAACGAAGTGGCCGCCTCCTCGATGTGCACGAGCGTATTCTGGAATCCGAGACACACAAGTCGTCTTTATCATGATTGCCGCTAAGAGGGACGTGACACGCTTCATCACCTCGTCACTCGCTCCCTTTTTCTCACACCTCTCTCTCTCTCTCTCGCCGTCGCTCGCGCGACACGCATACGCGTCTCTCTCGCTTCCTCTCTCACACACACACACATACACACGCACGCATTCTCTCCTTCCCTCTCGCTTACTCTCGAGACTGCTCGACGCACTTTTCCGTGACACACCGCGCACGATAAAACGGACGTGCCAGCCTAGAAGCCGTCCCGCGCCGAGGCGATCAACCACCTCCACCACCTCCTCCTCCACCGTCGTCTTCAACGTCGCCGTCCGTCGGGCGCGATGCACCGCGCGCGATCGATCCGTTTCGCGTGAATTTATTGCCTCTCTCTCTCTCTCTCTCTCCCACCCCTCTTCTCCCCGCAAGCACGCACGCACGCACGCACGCACGCTGTCGCGAATATCCGTCGGCGAGCCAAGTCGCGGGGCTCTCGGACGCGACGGCGGCGGACGAGCGCGAGGAGGCCGCCGCGCTCGAGATGCGTGACGGGCGGGCGCGGGCTCTCTTCGTGCCGCGCGCCACTCGCCGCGGTACCACGGTGACGACGACGATGACGACGACGTTGGCGGCGGTGGCGACGGACGATAACGACGCGAGCGATCGAACGGGGAACGCGAAGGCGCGACCTTGGGCGCGGTGGTACACGTCGCCGCGGGCGGTGTCCGCGGATCGCCTCCTCGAAGCGCGCGCGACTGCCGACGGGACGCCGAGCGCGACTCTCTCTCTCTTTCTCTCTCTCTCCTCGCAACCATGGTAAGCGAGCGCGCGGCGTCGGTTCGCGGTGCTCTTTCTTTCTTTTTTTTTCTCCCCGCCTCCCTCCGCCCCGGCGCTCCTTCCCGACTCTCGCTCGTACACGGCGGACACCCGCGTATTTTTACGCCCGCCGAATTTGTCGCGTGCGAGCGCGCCGGGGAAGCCGCCGGGACGGCGCGGGACCGCGGCGGACGGAACGGTGAGGCTCTCTACGAGCTCGCGCCTAACCTCAAAATGGCCGTTTCAGGACGTCGCCGCGTTCTCCGAGGACAGCTTCGACGTCAAGGAGTGGATCAACCGGACGTTCAAGTCCGCCGAGGCGCAGGAGAACAAGGACGTAAGTCGCGCGCGCGCGGGCCACCGTCGCCCGCCCTCGTCGCTCCTCCGTCCCGCGTCGGATCCCGCTCGTGGCCGCGACGCCCGTCGGCCGCCGGACTGGCGGCCTCCGCCCGCGACGGCGACGGCGGCGGCGATCGGCGGGCGACCTTTCCGACGCGATCCTCTCTGTCTCGCACCGCCGCCCGCGAGGGTCTTCAACCGCCCGCGGAGGATGGTGTCCTTACAGACTCGCGTTTCTCACTGCCGAAAATTACGTCGGGACGTTACCGACGGACAATAAACTTTCCCGCCTGCCCCCGCACACGCGTATATTTCCCCGCGTTTCGAGTAAATAAATTATCGCGCCGATACTCGTCATTGTGATTTTGGGGCGATTTTTGCCGGCACATACCCAGGTGTACCAGAGTGCACACTCGGCCTCACGAAAATAGCGTTTACGCCTGAAAATAGCCGCTAACTTCGTAGAAAAATTCATTTTATTAATAAGCGGGCTATTGTCGACCCAGCTGGGTCTGAATTTATTGTTAGAAAATTATAACTCGCTATGTCTCGACCATACGTGGTCCTTTTCAAGCGACAATGTGTAATTACGTATCCTAAATTAATTGTACAGAATTAGGGGTATTGTATTTAGTATAAAGATTATGTCTGAAGAAGCGGACTTGCACACGAATGCCAATGAAATTGCCTGATCTATCCTGGGTTTCTATAACTACAGCACATGTTTCAGAGCACGTCTGCAAACGTAGGAGACCACAAGTCTGAGTTTTGGTGAACGGAGTCAAGAGTTAGAATATTAGGAAAGTCAAGAATTGAGGACATTTTATTAACACTTTGAGTAGCTTCTTGTCGCCAGTGGTAACAAACCAAGGGGAATTTTTAACAATCGACCAAACTGGCATCAGAGCACGTCTGCAAACGTAGCAGACCACACGTTATGGAAAACTGAGTGAAGAGTTAGTCGAATATTAGAAAAGTCAAGCATTGAGGACATTTTATTAACACTTTGAGTAGCTTCTTGTCGCCAGTGGCAACAAACCAAGGGAAATTTAAAAAAATCGACCAAACTGGCAAAAATTCATGTTTATTTTAATCACGACGTTTCGACGTTTCCCTTTATCGGGTCCTTCTCAAGTACAGTCTAAAGTTGTAAAATGTTCAGTCAACTTTAGAGTGTACTTGAGAAGAACTCAATAAAGGGGTCGAAACGCAGTGATTAAAATAAACATTGTGTCAGTTTAGTCCATTTTTTAAGAATCCCCCTACATTTTATTAAAATAAATTTCTCTCGGATATCCTTAGCGTCTTTCTTCAGGCATTCGTACACTGATACATTTTGGTACATGTACCAAACAGTCACCAAAAATCGCCTTTTGTTGAACGGAATCTTTCGCGGTACGAAATTTCAATTGGAGTCGAGACAAATTAAATGACGGTATTCGTAAGATAATTAATTGTATTTAGAATACACTTTCATCCTGTATTCGTCTGTTGTCCGTGAGTTAATTGGTAATTTTATGACGATATGATACCTTGGACTGTGCTACGACCGAATATGCTTTGCAGGCGTTCGTCTCGTCATTGGTGATGAAGCTGCAATTGTACGTGCAACAAGTTAACGGTGCCTTGGAGGAGACTAGTCAATCGGTTCTCTCCAGCTTACCAAGAATTTTAAGAGACACTCAATTGCTGCAGCAAGAAACGTTAGCGCTGAAGGAGAAAATGGTCGCCGTCAAGCAAGAGATTGCGAAGGTTGGTACTAACTTGTTTAAATATTTGCCACGATGCGCCGTAACTTTCAAGAGCAATCGTCGAAACGCAGATCGAGAAAGACACAGCCTCGTCCATGGCAACGCTGGAGAAGATCGATAGGATAAAAACGGAACTGCAGACTGCTAAGCAAGGGTTGCACGAGGCCGACAATTGGACGGTGCTGGCGAACGACGTGGAAGAGGTATATGAAAGTTTCCAATCGGCTTCTTCGCGTATTTCGAATTAATACGCGATAATTGTACAATTAAATTTATCCCCCTTAATGGAACAGGTATTCGAGTCTGGCGATATAGAAGCTATATCTAATAAATTGTTCAGCATGCAGAAATCACTAGCTATGCTCGCGAACGTTGTCGATTACGAGGATAAAAAGCTGCAGCTGGAAGGCTTGAAAAATCGCCTCGAGGCGATAGCCAGTCCGCGATTGGTCCAGGCTTTTACCGCTGCAAATTTAGGTAAAACTTGCAGAGTCGAAATGTCATAAATTCGCTCGCCTCGCGTGACGTGATGCTCAGCTGTTGTTATTGTGTTCAGAGCAATCCAAGACTTACGTGGATATCTTCGGCAAAATGGAGCGTCTGCCTCAGCTTCTCAAATACTATCACAACTGCTTGAGGGTCTCTTTGGCCCAGGAATGGCGACGCACTATTGAGCTAGCGCAAGACGAGAACGTTACGTATTGGCTACGCGTATATTATGACAAACTGTTATCCTCTTGGCACGAACAGGTACGCGCAATCTGCCAGGTGAAAATATTGTTATTGCCGCTTGGCGAATACTTTCCACAGCTGTTTGTGTTAAAGGTGAAATGGTGCCATCAAGTCTTTCCTAATGCTTCGGTAGATATTCATATCGAGGTTTACGCTGACCTTTTGAGGAGCCTCGATCCCGGTATTCCGGAATGTATAGAGGCGGTGCTGAAACAACATTCCAACGCGGTGCAGTTGTCGATTCTACTCGAATTGAAACAGATGACGAGGCACTTCGCCACGAATCTCAGCGGCGCCATCGAAACGTCACTTCGCGGGAAGTCGCAGAACGAGAAGCTATTGTCGCTGGCGCAAGCCGTATACGTGCCTTACGTTCCCTACGTCGCGAAATACAGCAAGTTCGAAACCGCGCAGTTGGAACAACACTTGCAGTTTTTGGATCGCTCGCACGACGATCTAAGCGACACCATTAATTCCCTTTCTCTTAGCATCTCGCGAATTATGGGCTATGCCAATGAAGCAAATAAGCGATGTAAACTTTTTACAGAAGGTTGTGGATATCCTGGTTTGCTGCAATCGTTAAACGTACGTTCACACTCGAGATTTTCCCGCTTGTGTCACCGCGATGGTTATAAAATGTATTTCCTGTTAAGACAACCTTTGGTATCTTGTAGATTTATTTCAACAAATATCTCGAGAAATATCAGCAAGGATTGAGGCAACTCGAGAGAAAGAAAGTGAAACACGAAGACTGGAATCTGTTCCAAATGTGTCTTACGCTTATGCAAAATATAGGTCATTTTCAGCAATTAATTAATTTCTTGTACGACGTAAGAAACAAACGCGAGACCTTTAAAATTGTATTGCTGTATGTACAGGTGATCTCTTGCATCAAGTGCAACAATTCGAAAAGTCGCTCGTGATCGACATAACAGAAGCTAATAACAAATTACAAAACACAAACGGTAGCGTCTTTTGTCAGTATAAAAAGTTACTGTTGACTTCGTCGGGATGCGCAGACCTAGAAAATCTTGTCGCATCTTTCCAAAGAGGTGTGTGTCTGCGCGCACGTGGCAATAGCAGTTACAACGTTGTAGAAAGCAAATGTCTAATTTTCTTTCCTTTTGCAGAGGACAAGACAATTCTCGACTTGATTATAAAATCTATTCAAAAGCTCTGTACTGATTTACATCATACGACGTACGAAGTCATTTTTGCGCCGATATTCTCTCAACTTTTGCTGGTGCAAAAGGCACCAGCTTGGTCGGTGGAGACCAACAAAATGTCCAATCTAAGTTCAGATCTACCCGATTACAGTTTCGCTCCTCAAGAGTATATTACGCAGGTCGGTCAGTATTTAATGACATTGCCGCAGCACCTGGAGCCATTTCTGTTGAGGGACAATCCAAGTCTAACGCAAGCATTGAAGGCAGCCGATCCGCAATATGTCCAAGGCTCGAGTGAATCTGGATTTACTAGTATACTATTGGACATTATTGCCCGGGGAACGTGTCAAATGTTCCAGGATCAAACCTTGGGCATCTGCCAATTGAACTCCGTTGCTTGCAAACAACTCGCAACTGATATCGGTAGCTTTCGCGTTATATCTAGAATTTTAT